TTTTAACATAAATGGCGCAATTGGCGTCCAACGGTCTGGACCGATCCACACGGCTCAGTGCCAGGCCCGTTGCTGTCATAGGATTTGGGTGCACCTAGGATATGGACTGAAGACAAATGGCCATTGAGTATCGTGTCGCATAATATACTTATTCTTTGTTGAAAACACGTGGCTTGGCTACTGAATGCTAATAAAATTCCACGAAAACAATCATTTCCTTGTCAGAGTAAATCATGCGCCCTAAAACCTCGCGGAAACATTACAAATATTTTTTTTTAAAAGTTCAGTGCATTTATCCATCGTGGAAGCGGCTACCAGATTATTTCCTTTGTACACAAAGTACTGGCTCATGGAGTGGGCGTGATCGCATTATGGTCTATGCCCAATGACATGTACAGAGAGAAGGCGCAGGACGCAAGAAACAAACACGACTGGTAGTGAGCCAGTTCCACCATTTGGTGGTGACCCGCGATCCACTCATCACCATCATCGTCGAGCTGGGCATGAACAGACCCAGGCACCGGCGGTAGCCCTTACAGGTCAGTTCGAGCGCAGCAAATATCAGTGCATACCTCAAGGACGTCGAGAAGTGAAACAGCGACGAAGGTGAAGATGAGGGGAAATGCAGTGTTGCGGTCTGGAATACGAGTTGGCCTGGTGGAGCCAGTTTTAAGTGGAGCAGATATGTCCTGAAACTTGATGGCCTAAGCTATACAAGATAGATGGCCTGGAAGTTGTGTGCTGTAGCCAAACTCCTTATTACTATTCAACACAAAATGGATCCCTCTCGTCCAACCCGGTGTGTGGCCAGTTGTGTTGCGTGTTAAATTTGTCATGGAACTGAGACTCAAACTTATTAGACACCGGCACGCCAACAGGAAGACAGCCATGTTTACCAGGGTGTTTCCTATGATGAAGCTTCGAACTACCCCTGCACGATAAAGAGGATCAACGATTGTCAACAAAAATATTCAAGAAGTTATCCAATTTTAATGTTCTCTAGCTGGAACTGTTCAGCGATGAAATATGAACCGGGTACAGCAGAAGCAGCACCATACGAAAGTAGGACAAAAAGCCAACATCCATCACCGCCTGAGGCTGTTTGTGTGCAAAAACGGCTTGAATGATTGCCAGGGTGACCGCGTGCGTAACATCTGTAAACAGGATCAACTCTAAAATGAGTTGGGAGAAGGGGCGGGGGAGGAAGCGGGAGTGTATATATATATATATATATATATATATATATATATATATATATATATATATGTGTGTGTGTGTGTGTGTGTGTGTGTGTGTGTGTGTGTGTGTGTGTGTGTGTGTGTGTGTGTGTGTGTGTGTGTGTGTGTGTGTGTGTGTGTGTGTGTGTGTGTGTGTGTGTGTGTGTGTGTGTGTGTGTGTGTGTGTGTGTGTGTGCGCGTTTTGTGCGGCTCTCATTGCCTTTTGTGGTGTTTTTCTTCTGGAAATTCGGACTTTGTACTGGAAGACCAATAAAAACGTTGGGAATTGGTCACAGGGTTCCCCAGACATATATACTTATTAGTGTCGCAGGCTCTCACACCTCCTGCGATAAGAGATGAAGCTGGTGAGCGAGGCCTGGTGCAGCCATCAGTCGGGTGGCCAAGGGTAAGATGGTCAGGCGAGCGGCAAAGAGGCTGACTCCAAATACAGAAGGTACGCCGCCTCCACCACGAGTACTATCCAAAACCGCAAACTCATTATGAGGCACTGAGGGCCAATACAGTATACGCGAGATGGACAAAGGGGACCATCGAGAACCGCCTTACCTCCCATCCCAAACTGTGATGTACGGCCGATGCCTGTTTCATCATTTGCCGGCAGCATGTCTTGTCCGTCTTCCTGTAGGAGCGCCTCCAGCGAGGAGACGGCCTCGGCGCGGAACTGCTCCAGGCACCGCTCGGCCCAGTCCTGCTGGGGTTCGTCTTCCTGGGACATGCCTCAGGTCATCAGACGTCTGGCGATCAGCCGAGTTAGGTCTCTTGCGTCACATGTGTCCTGTCCTGTCCTAATGTCCTGACTGCTCACTGCTGCTGAACTGCGGAGGTGCGGTGTGATGGGTGCTCCAAACCTGGTCGATGTCCAGATGCATCCATATCAGGTGTTGTCACTCGCCGACTAGTACGTACAAAACTGACGCCTAGAATTATGAAAATGTCGAGTATCTCTTGATGGCTTCACACTGCCGACGGCCGATCCACCTTCGGCTGCGTCCGTGCTGTTCAGCAGTCCGCCACTTCCCTGGCCGGCGGTCACGCGTCACCCGCTGCCGAGCCACCCGCGGCTTCCTCCGGTCAGCACGCCGCCAATGGACCAGATGCACCCGACTGACCACAAATAGCCGGCGGGCTCGGCCGCCGTTGCCAGCCCGTCCCCGCCGGCGTCCTCCGCTCGCACTGCCAAGCCAGGCGGCGCTCGCACGTCCGAGATCGGCCGCGAGCTGCGTCGCGTCGCCCCGTCCGTCGCCGGCATCACATGTCAAGGCGACACGCAGCTGGGCCGCGGCGGCCCCGGCCGGCCGGCGCGTGCCTGCCTACACTGGTGTCGGCCGCCGCCGCCGCCGCCGCCGCAGCTGCGCTCGGCTCCATTGTTGCTTCGTTTGCGTTGCTGTCGCGGGCGCTGTGATGACGAGGTCACTGACAGGTGTGTGTGTGGGGGGGGGGGGGGGGGGGCGTGCATGCGTGCGTGCATATGTAGGTGCGTGCGCGCGCGTGTGTGTGTGATTGTGTGTGTGTGTGTGTGTGTGTGTGTGTGTGTGTGTGTGTGTGTGTGTGTGCGTATGTGCGTGCGTGTGTGTTACAGTATGCCGTGTGCTGAAGGTTAGTCAAATGCGTCTGTAGTGACTTAAGTAACACAGGTATCTGTGCGTTGTCCATGTTTTACCTAACTTGCAGCGCAAATTGCACATATCTGTTTGTGTTCAGCGTTACATTTCTAACACTGGGGCCTGTACACGGCATTGTATTGCAGAGTGCATGGTAGCTCATCTCAAATCATTACGCAATTTGGGCGACTCTCTTTCAACATGTTCCACTTCTTTCACAGATTCTTCTCTTATCTCCTATTGTGAGCCGCTGAGGACTATGCACTTTTATGAGCTCATGAGCTGACCAGTCATGTATCAAGCTAGGAAGTACAAACATCACATTTCCAGCTTTGTGGGCTCGTTGCCGATGTTGCATCTTGACGACGTGGACGCTGAGCGCGCCGTGTCGATGCCAAGGGCAAAACAGCGAGCAGGTCCCGTCGATCTGCCGGCACGGAGCCGGTGTTATCACCATCTGGCGTTACTGCCATCTGCGTCTGGCGCTCGGAGCTGTGAGCACGCTGTCACCGGTGGCCGCGTGTCGCCGGCCGTCGGCGGAGCGGGGGCGGCAGCGACGGTGGGGGCGGGCCGCCCGGGCCGCAGCGTCAGTCGCCTCCCATCGGCCGGTGTCGCGTCGGCTGGGTGCGCCCCTGCGGAGCCGCGCCCGGCCGTCCATAATCAGGCCCCCACTTGGAGTGAGACTCTAGCCCCCCCGCAGAGCGCCAGCACAGAGGGGGGCGGAGGCAAGGTAACCTGACTACAACGTGCGGTCGTCGCTCTCCGAACATGTGGCGTGCAGTGCCGACACGAAAGACGAAGTGAAGCCGGTGCTGTCTGCAGCCGGTCATCGCCAAACTCAAAATGGTGTAACCTCTGCATGGAACCAACGTAATCATTCCCAGTCTGCTCAACAAGAAAATGATATTCTTCTAACTCTTTCGTGTTTCATCGTGTTAACAATTTTTCTTATTGCATTTAAACGTTTTCTTAATGTTAAACAAACGTCACTCGCATGAAAAGTGCATTGTTCACTACATCGGCTGATACACGCTGCACGTGGACCAGTATTGTTGCTGTAAACATGCAAACCTGATGCAGGGATGCACAGTGGGCTTTGAAAGATGTTAATCGTTTTCTCCACGCGCATTCCTGTGGTCTTAGTCGACCAACTCGCAAGCATGAGCGTGGTGCATCGATAGACTACGAAAGACAACATACACAAACGCCTTCAAAGTTATTTTAAGCAATGAAATGCATGAACGTCAAATCCCGTCACTTTACTTCACGGATCATCGAACTCCCTGTGGGTGCTCTGCGAGCACATGTTTCTCTCTCTCTCTCTCTCTCTCTCTCTCTCTCTCTCTCTCTCTCTCTCTCTCTCTCTCTCTCTCTCTCTCTCTCTCTCTCTCTCTCTCCCTCCATTTTCACACGCACACCCACAAGTACGCGCACACACCCGCGCGCACGCATATGCTCACGCTTACTTCCGATGCCTCATCAACACACCAACACATCAGTAGTGCTAATGAGACAGGGACCCCGTGCCGCGGGCCCCGTCAGGCCGGTCTCCAGAGTCCACAGGAAAAAAATGCGTACCTTTTCTGCTCACCGCGCACCTAAACACGTTTGGTATCAAGGCGCGTTGCAGGACAGCGTCATGATGTGTCGTGATGGTTTTACAACCTCGTCCTCCACATCAATGACTGGTGGCGCCCCCCCCCCCCCCCCCCCCGGTGGTGCCGCCCTAACTCCTGGCCGCGGTGCGGTCAGCGGTGTGTCTGTGTGCACCTCCCGGGACCCCTGACCGGCATCCACATGCGTGTCGACCGCACGCCCTCCCACCGACCGGCGCGGTCAGGCCGCGCCGCCCGAGCACATTTAAACTCGTTAGAAGCAAATACATCTCCATATCAGCGATAGGTGGGCAGGCCCCCCGGACAGGCGGCGGCGCAGGGGGTGCTTTCCCGCCCCCACTGGTCGCCTGGCGGGGGGCGCCACCTCGCGGCGACCGGCTCCGGCCGGCATACACATGCACACACACATACACACAGACGTGGCCGGGCCTTACACCGGACCGGACATGGAGCGGCCCGGGACTGGTGCAGACAGGGCCATGGAGCGGCCCGAGACCGGCGCAGACGGGGCCATTGAGCGGCCCGGGACTGGTGCAGACGGGGCCATGGAGCGGTCCGAGACCGGCGCAGACGGGGCCATGGAGCGGCCCGAGACCGGCGCAGACGGGGCCATGGAGCGGTCCGGGACCGACGCAGACGGCGCCAGCCATCAGAACGGCCTTCGATACGCCTGTGGGTGAGTGGCGGCCACCGGCCCGCAGCCGCTTCGCGCAGTCCAAGTGGAACGATCGTCCGCTCACTGTTTCGGCGATCAACATGAGTTGGGCGATGAAGTGCGATTGCTCAAACCTCATCTGTGCGATTCTGACATCTAAATTTTCGCTCTATTTAGCCACGACTTGTACCGTTCTAGATATCATTGACTTCAGAAGGCTTTCTGGTATGACTGATCCGTTTAACGATCAGAGTTGCTTGAGGTTTTGAACTGCAGGGGCTTTGGCTAGGATAACGGTGAAGAACTGACCGTCGCTGACCCGGTCGTCACCTTTGACCTGTATGCATACATTGACGTTTAGCCGAGCCATTGGTCGCTAGGCCGTCTGGTTCATGCTTAGCTGTCTGATTTGAAGAGATTGGAGTTGTTAAAGTCGTGATTAAGTACACACAACGAAACAAATGCCTGCTGCCATCTTAAAACTGTGCTGCTAGACTCTGTGTGGCGTTCAGCAACATCCATTATTATTTATCATTTCTTCCATCTCGTTGTCAAATCCGTTATTGTAAAGAAAACTTTTCACGTTTGCCTTTTGGATGAGTTGGCCGGAGTGTGCCACACAAGAACGCATTGTCAAACCTCTTTAAGGCGTGAAATATCCCAATTTCTGACTCTGAGGATAACTTTTCTCCCATTTTTTCCATCGCGCGCTGCGTAAAACCGACGTCATTTGATTAAGAATGCCATGATCAGCAACCGACCACCTTCCACCAACCGCCGCCGCCGTCAGTGGTTGACAGAGAACGGAGATCAGATGGCTTACACAAGCTTCGTACGAATGAAACCAATATGGCCTGGGCTGGGACTGTTTGATCGGCATGGGATCGAAGCAGATATCCCTTTCCTGTGGCGTCATTTTTTGTCCATCTTATTCCGTCGCGCGCGATCCTTTCGCGGGCTTTTCCAAATACACCCCACTCACGTTAAGTCCAGAAATCATACTCGTTGGCACAAATGTTGACAAAGCGTCGTACATGTGAACGGAAAGTTAAAAATCGTGACTTGTATGGAACGTGCCGGGAATCAGATGACTTAAGAATAACGTCGTATCCAAAAATGAGGGGATGCAAATGCAAGTAAAAAAAAGTATTATCACACGAAAACGTCTAAAAATCACCATGACGGGTCGAAACACGCGCACATTTCGAAAGTTGGGTTATATAACACGCCTAAATAAGCAAGTCACCTTATAGCGAGATGAAGTACTACAAATGAGTTAGCCATGCGCTACAATGACAACTCTATCACAGTCAGTCCGGCAGTGACTCTGACGTCATAAAAAGGTTCCGTGGCGTTATTAAAAGGTGACGTGCTGGGGGACATGTTTATTCAATACGGAAATTTTGTTTTCTAGAGCAGCCATTTGCACTGCCTCCAAATCTTCAACAGTGGAGCATTTGCTTTAAGCCCTGGCCATTGAAAGTGCCCACAGCCATTTACATTGATATTTACCTTCATCTCACTGCAGCCTCGTCCACGTGGTGGTTGTTGTGCACCTTGTCGCACAAGAAAAAATCACGCACAGTGCACAGAGATACACACATGCGCGCAGGTGGAAGCAGTTTCAGTCGATGAGTAAGCTGTTTAAAACAACCAAGAACGCCCGACGCGAGGGGGGGGGGGGGGCGGCCGCCGCAGGTAGCCGGTTCCGCGCGGATTCGGGGGCGTGCGGTGCCCGGCACACCTTCAGGCAGTCCCGGTGCTGTACAAGATCTGCGACGCTACGCCAGCCGAGCGCTTCCAGAACGGATGAAACGTGATCGCTGCGGCGAGTACCACTCATTGACCTGGGTGCGAAGCGCATCACTTATGCACTCTGCCTAAGTGACGCTCGGACACCAGCCAGCCGGTCCCTGTCTGGTCTAACACGCACACGGATGGCCGGTTTGATATCCTTCGCTCGGGTGAGGGGTCAGTTTGACCCCCACCCGAGTGAAGATCCGGGTCTCTTAGTTCCCCTAAGATGGCAGGAACTAAGAGAGTTAGAGAAACCAAATTTACAGGGTGTGTTGCCTATACCTGAACTCCCTTAGGTCAAAGTTTTAGGTTTCTAGGTCATGGCCTACGGGTCAAATAAGGTCAAGAAGGTCAATCTCCAGACTGGTGTCAGAAGTGCTCCCAGAACTTTGATACCTGTTTTAAGCAAAAGGTCACACTTTCATTTAAGGTCAGTGACCTTTTTTGACCCTTTGAAGATCCTGGTGACCAAAATCATGCTAGACTGCTTTGGGCTTTGCGTGGGAATAAGCAACAAAGATTACGCTTGGCAGTATGTTCCAAAAAACAAAATGTTGACCTGTGTCAATTTAGATCGGTGACCTATTTTGACCTTTGAGAAGCCCATGGAAGATGTAGAATGCGATTCCATTATCAACAAATTCCAAATGAGCACCAGAAACTACTCCATACAGCAAGCCCTAGAGTGATAAAACATATTGGTTTTGACCTTGGTCTGGCCTTCAAAACTGACCTTGGGTCAACAGAATTTGTTCGTTCAATTATTGCATTGCCTAAGAAAGTATCTGAGGGATGTATGACTTCGTCGAACGCTCCGTCGTTGCATCAGATAAAGCAATTTCCTGGAAATTGACTTCGCGCAGAATCCATGGCCTACCGTTGATCTACCGTAGGCCAGCGACCTTACAAGGCACATCTAAATTTTTGGCCCCAAACGATCCGCTATTCAATTGCCTACAGCTGCGCAACATTGGCGCAGCGCGCCGCGCCGTTCGGAAACCATTCTGAAAAAATTCGGGGTCAACTTGGCCCTCACCCGAGCGCGTGTAAATGGACAAGGACCTTACTTGGTACCAAAACGGAAATACTAAAAAACCCAACAGGCGGGATCAGCATGTCTGTTTGCATTCTTTTGTGTGTGCCCACGCCTCCCAATCTTGAGTGCCCCCCCCCCCTTCCCCTCGAATGTTGATTTCCCTCTCCCCAATATTTTTTGTGCGGAATATTACAAAAGCATCGGGAAAAGCTGACACATCAGAAGACTACCTTTGTTCCTTCCTCATAGTGGCGTCGCCATGGAGAGTGCAGCGGGGTTACTTGAGCCTGCAACCTCAAAACTAATTCGTTAATTCCTGGGTAGCTTCAGACGTTAACGGTGAGCCATTTAACACTTACGGTTTTTTGTTTTGCCTGTCAAACGTGAGCCCATACGCTTTTCATCCACAAACCAAATATGACCTTAACGCTACTAATTCACCCGCTACATGGTCTCTTATGGCAAGAGAAATTTGGTCCCTCCACCCATGGTGGGCTACGAACCTGGCATTGTTTTACTTGAAGTTGAAAACCAAGTGTTTTATGGCAACTCTTCATGAGAAAACAAAATTGGGTAAAACAATCGTTTGACATGGCATCGTTAGTCCAGATTATAGGTCCAGTTCAGCTACAAAATGAACAATACAGAGGACGCTCATTTCTCTGAGACGGATTTTTAATCTGATTCCGTGCTGAGCGTTCTCTATTGCCAGCGCTCCGAGCGCAACATCCTAGCTTTAGAATGCATTTTGAACGGATCGATGTTGCCCCGGTCCGTTATCGAAATAGCACGAAAGGACTTTTGTCGCACCATGCGACTTCACGACTTCGGCTGTCCTGTGACCAGGCTGATGCTAGCAAACCAAAGGCCAAATGGTCCTCTTTGAAGAGCCATATCCAAACCCTCATTCTGGAAGGCGCACCTGCCACCACGCGTTCCGCTACGTCACGGCTGCGTTCAGTATAACTTCAGCCCTCTACCCAAGCTGGGCTTCCGCCTCGACGTTTAACGTTCTACGCGACAATATAGTTCTTTGTGCGAACATTTTACACACTGCAGCCAACTAGCTCGGAGAAAGGCGATGTCAACAACCTACCCCTTTACTAACTATATTTTTCAAGAGATATCACCAGTGACATAGAAAGCAATCAATCATAGTTAACGGGAATACCCCACATTTGAAGATATTGAAGTACAGACAGTAGTATTAGCCTTATTCCTTGGAGAAAAACCTGGAGAATAGAGATATAATTGGGTTAGTATTCCGGCAACATGCCTGCACCAAAACAATAGCTAAAGTGAATTCAAAATTGCTTGGCGATGATCCTACTCGATTTTTCAGTTTTTTTAAAGCAAGCCACATTTTTTATAGGACATCAACATTTAGGGAATTAAACGAAGAGCGACCGCCAGTAATTGCCACGTTACAGTGTCTAGCTAAGAAGTAGAATGCGCGAACATACGTGTACATGCAAAATAACTCAAGCAAATAGGCATACATCACACATGAAGGCACATATCGCGTTCGCATAATCGGCCATGATGAGCCCTGTACGTTAAGATTTGGTCGCCAACTTTTTATAACAATAGATTCATTTATTTTCCTGTCTGGGTGGTCCTGTCTCTGTGGATGACTTTGAGCTCTAAAAGGGGCATAGTGTCCATACTTCCCTCGGTTTCAGCTTAAGCGCGTGTTGCCAAAAAATGGTCACCGAAAGGGGTATTCCCTGTCTTGTATGTAGCGTTTCGCTGGTGTTCGTTATATCTCAAACCCTAGGGTGCATGGACTTCCCGACATAGACTATGTCCCTCCCATGTTTTTCACGCAGTTTACACCTGATTTCGTAAACCACGTCTTTTTGCGCGCAAACCCCTTGAAACCCCAGAGCTGCATAAATGACATCTGTTGCCACCCGGGCACTTAGGCTTCGATATGGAAGATTTCACCGGAGACTTTTTAAGCTTATTGTAGTTTTTCCAACCTATGCGTATGCGTAGTTTTTATTTTTTACAATGGGTTTGATTTTCCAAAGCAAATGCTCATCTATGTAAGGTAGCATTAAGAATCCGTCTTCCGGTAGGACGTGTTCCCACCACCTGCCACTCATCCCCCTACGCGCCCTAGACCTTTTTACTTCCTCCAACATTCTTCCTAAAAGTTGCGGAGAATATTCGCTGCCCAACAGCAAAGACCATATCTTGTTTACGTTCTTTCTTTCCATTTCACCACTTGATAAGTTATTTAGAGCCCTCTGGAACATGTAACAAATTATGTTGTGCTTAGTGGAAGTTAAACGCGTAGATGCACAGTGCAAAATGATACCAGAGTTGGTGGGCTTAATAAAGAGCTCTGTTTCCAACGTTGTGCCGTTATTCCTCCTTTCCACCGTCACTAGCGTATCCAAATATTGGACCTCCTTTCCGCCCCCTGAATGCTCCATCATAAAAGTTTTATTTGGATGCTGGTTGTTCATGAACTCTAAAAACTCTTCAAGGGCACGCTGTCCGTGCGTCCAGACCACAGAATAATCATCGATATGTCTAGCTAAGAAAGTTGGGTTTAATGGGCTGGTGGCCAGAGCCTTCGTTTCAAATTGGTCTAAAAATATTATCGCCAGAGGAGGAGCGCATGGGTTCCCCATTGCTATTCCCATTTTTGTCGGTAGAGGTCATCTCCGAACGACAAAACATTATCCAGGAGACACTGCTCTTAAAGACCGCAGGCATCCTCTTTTGGCAGACCGAAAGCATCAATTTCATGGAAATGCTTGTCTACCTTGGCTTTCACGGCAGCGATAGCCTCATTGACTGGTATGTTGCCATATAAATTGACATCTACACTGAAGAAAATGCTGTTGCTGGTAACCCTTCTGTTTGCGAATGATAAGAAGCCTTTTTTAAAGGCTCTGGTGTCCCACAGATGAGTGAGAACAAGCCTCAGGAGCTGGTTATGTATTTTTTTTTCTAAAAGACACGAAGTCTTTCTGTAGGACCACCGCACGCAGATATGACAGATCTAAGGGGCACCGCAGGTCTGTGATCTTGAGAAAGCCTATAAAATACAGGAGTTCTACTTTGTTAAGGCATCAAATTTTTGATGGTTTTGTCCGAACGTTTTCCGCTAACTGTGCTGTTTAATGTTCTTTTTGTTTTAACTCTACCTGACGGACCGGGTTCATATTCAGTTTTTCATAGCTGTCGCTGTCGTTAAGTATAGCCTCAGCCTTGTTATCATAAGCTAGCCTGTCTAAGATTACAAAACCGTTACACTTATCGATCTGTTTAAGTATGATATCATCATTTTTGCTAAAGGCCTTGCGCTGATCTGCAGTGACATTCAGTTTGCCTACTGTATGGTTTTTTAACGTGCGCAGTACGTCATCCTTCAATTTCTGTAGGCTGACTTCTACTTCATCACTGGAAGGTTCCGGAAGTTCTTACCGATGTCTGGAAATGTAAACGACAGATTTGGGATGCGACGTCGATGAGGCTGATCTTTGTTGCGATCTTCTGCGTCTTCCCTACCGAGGCCACAATGTTTTCTTAAAAACGGATTCTTAACACTACCTTACAAAGATGAGCATTTTCTTTGGAAAATCAAACACATTGTAAAAAAATCAAAACTGGGCGTACGTATAGGTTGGAAAAACGACAATAAGCTTAAAATGTCTCCAGTGAAATCTGCCATCTCGAAGCCTAAGTGCCCGGGTGGCAACAGATGTCATTTATGCAGCTTTGGACTTTCAAGGGGTTTTCGCGCAAGAAGGCGTGGTTTACGAAATCAAGTGTAAACTGCGTGAAAAAACATGGGAGGGACACAGTCTTTGTCGGCGAGTCCATGCGCTCTACTCGTTTGAGATATAATGAACACCCCCGAAGCGCTAAAAACAAAACAGGGAACATCCCTTTCGGTGACCCTTTTTAGGCAACACACGCTCAGGTCGAAATCGAGGGAAGTATGAACCCTATGCCCCTTTTAGAGCTCAAAGTCATCTACAGAGCACAGGACCACCCAGACAGGAAAATAAGTGAATCCGTTCTTATAAGAAAAAGTCGGCGACCAAATCTTAACATACAGGGCTCATCATGGCCGATTATGCGAACGTGATATGAGGCTTTACGTGTGATGTGAGCTAGCTTAAAATCGTTTGCACAAGTAAGTGATGCCTGACGCGTGATACGCGATGCCTGTTCAATCGAAATCGTTTGCTTGTATAATTGATGCGTCGACGTATGATGCCTGTTTACTTCCACTCGCTTGCTGTTTGAATGAAACGTGTGCGTGATGCCTATTTGCCTGAATTCTTTTGCATGTACACGTATGTTCGCGCCTTCTGATCCTTGGATAGACACTGTACTGTGGTGATTACTGGCGGTCCCTCTTTGTTTGATCCCCTGAATGTTGGTGTCCTGTAAAAAAATTTGGCTTGCTTTTACAACAAACAACAAAGCTGAAAATCGAGTGGGATCATCGGCGAGCAATTTTTAATTCACTTCAGCTATCGTTTCGATGAAGGCATATTGCCGAAATATGAACCCAACTATATGTCTATTCTCCTGGTTTTCTCCGAGGAACAAAACTAACATTACTGTCTTATATAACCCTATTTCTCTGTTAAGTAAATATGTTCCTCAATACACACACACACACACACACACACACACACACACACACACACACACACACACACACACACACACACACACACACACACACACACACACACACACACACACACACACACACACACACACACACACACACACACACACACACACACACACACACACACACACACACACACATACACATTACGCACAGTGGCGCATCAAGTCATCAAGAAAATGCTTCACATGTGCCGATGAACCTAAACAAATCAGATCGGAATGTCCGGCAACCATACGGGACATGTATTCGACACTTGTGCGAAACTCCACCAAGTGGACACTCATCCCACTCATGGCTCATGCATGTGGCCTCGGATCAGTGGGGTGTCACGAGGCTGCGAGATAAAGCGAGAGTTAAGAAAGAGGGGGCTGCTACTTCTCTCAATTTTCCACGGTTATTGAACATGATGCTGCACTAGAAACGCACGAAGCAAAGTGTAAAACTTAGTCACTTTTTCTTGCTTGATCTATGCGAAAATAAACCGGGCTCCAACAGCTGGCTCTGGTCGCGAGGCCATCGGAAGTTCAACGATTGCACATTTAACCAGACTTTCAGACTTCAAGGGAAAAGTGCTCCTCCGTGTACAGCAGATGCTGCTACCATTTAGGCACACGCCCGGGTGGGCGGTTAGATATCCTTTGCTCGGGTGGGGGATTAATTTTACCCCCCTGAGATCTCAGAAACTAAGGGAGCTAAAGACACTAAATTCACAGGCTGTCCTTGAGCTGTACGTGAACTCACTTAGATTCAGGGTTTGAGGTTCCTGGTTCATGATCTTGGGCCAAACAAGGACAAACAAGATTAATTTTCAGATTGGTTTCCAGGAGCCCCTGGAACCTAGTTAACTTGTTCTAAGCAACAAGTCGCATGCTCATCTAAGGTCGGTGACCTTGTTTGAGCTTTTGAAGGTCATGGTGACCAAAATCACACCAGTCCGCTTTGAGCTTTGCATTTTGATAAGCGACAGATTGCGCTAGGCAGTATGTTCCTAAGAACAAGATGTTGGCGTGGGTCCTTCTAGGTCAGTGACCTGGTCTGACCTTTAAGAAGTATATGGAAGGTGTATTATGTGTTTCCTGTTATCAATAAATTCGAAATGAGCACCAGAGACCGCTCCATACAGCGAGCCTTAGAGTAATAAAATGAGGCTGATTTATAGAGTAATAAATGAGGCTCAGTGACCTCGGTCGGTCTGACGCTCATAAATGACCTTGAGGTCAATGCAATTTGTTCATTTAATTATTTTGTTGCCTAAGAAACTATCTCAGAGATGTATGACTTTGTCGTACACACTCCGCTGTTGGATCTGATTCAACTATTCCCTAGAGATTGCCTTTGCTGAAACTATGGTCTGACTTTGACCTGCCCTAGGTCAGTGACCTTACAAGATGCGTCTAAATGTTTTATACCGGACGATTCCGCTATTTGATTGCATACAGCTATGCAAAATCGGCGCAGCTGCGCCGAGCTGTTCGAAAACCATTGCGGAAAAACTTTCTGGGGAGCGATTTGACCCCCTACCCCAGCGCGTGTTGATAATAAGCAATCTTGCGCATTTAACCCAAACTTATTTTGTGAGCTGGTCATTCAGGACTTAAATGCCGATGAAGAACTAGCTCTCACGAAATCAAACTGTCTTAAATGATATGAAATACATCTATTTAACGGAAATTACCATCACCTCAGGCGTGCAATAGCGACTTAGAATTAAGTAAGCATTCGATGATCTTATTGATAGCACGTGCACTTGCAACACCACAATTGCAAAAAAAAACTCATCCTACCGTTATTTGCACAGCAAATTTTAGGCATCTAATCAAAGCAGATTGCTTTTAGCATCGATCCGATACCCTACTGGTCGATGTGAACTGTTCATTATGAGTTATTGAGTACCATTGAGTGTTGTTGGGCATTTTTGATGACGATTATGTATATTGCAACTGTTGATACCACGACCTAGTTGCGCTTAACAATTGTGTTCCGACACCAGACCCAGATCAAAATTACCGGCCAATCGGCAGCAATGCAATGCATGCACCACATGTGGCAGATACTGAACTATTGGGACTATGTATTTAGCCATAAAGTTAGATACATACTGCGATAGAACGTATATCTCTTGCCGACAGGTGGGAGAAATGCCATCGGGTATTGCCCTCTCAGCAGCATCTCGTGGATCACGTGACCGCGGAGCACGTGCAGCTGGCCAGCAACACCTACCGCTGCCTGTGGCAAGGCTGCTCTCGGAAGAGGCAGGGTTTCAATGCCAGGTCAGTCAGCATACAGATGGCGCGTCTCCCTGAACGGCCCGGAACCATTCTGTCCAGGGTTCATTTAGATAATGTTCTGAAACTACGACTTTTGCATCCGGGTACAAAACACGCACAAGGGCCTCATATGACTTTGTTAAAGGTGCTGAGACTGTTGATTCAGTAGCAGTGGACTGGTCGTGCGTCGTTTCTGTATTTGCTTTCACGGGGGATTCTGTTTGCACGACATATTTGTAGCTGTCCCGAGACAGTACTCCTAACGCGGGTCGGTCGTGTTGAAGCACTGCGTCTAACCTTTTCCAGATATAAAATGTTTGTGCACATCCGAACACACACCAAAGAACGCCCCCACGTCTGCCTGGATTGTGGGAAGGGCTTCAGCAGGCAGGAGAATCTGAAAATTCACAAGCGCTCACACAGCGGTACGTACCTTCGTTCTCATGACATGCGTGCTGGGCTCGGGGCCTGCCAGCCAATTCCGTCACCTGGCGGCGACAACGCTGCCGGTGATCAGAAGGATAGCCCACCAACTTCATCTCGCTTTTATCACAAGCATGGCTGATGAGTGTATGTTGAGGCTAGCATGAAGCCATTGCATATTGCTGGTTAATACAAGTACCCAGGTCCGGTCTCCAAAGTTGGACCTACCGCGGTCGCTGCTCGGAAATAATTGTGTATGACATGAACTGCGTGACATAATGTGACCGTTTAAAATCATGCTTGAACACGAAAATTGTGGCGTTAAGCCGCCACGTTTTGGGCTTTTCTCGCATAACATGAAGAGTACAAGTGGGATCTTGTGCGTCTCCAGTTCATTCATTATCTATATCTACGGTTTAAACTGCCAAGTGATGTCCGAGATCGTCATTTAGTCTCTGGAGTATCGCCACGGATTTCTTTATAAGGGAGAATTGAGTCTAGCTAGAAAACCGCGTTCTCGTAATGCAGTAGCTGAACAGATACTGACCACTTTCATAAAGACTGCAAAAAGACCCGGATGAGTTGATCGCTGTCAGCTGGGTTGGCAGCAAATGAAACACTATTTGGAATGAGCAGTACTGCGTCGGTTTGAACGAGACAGACGACGAATGTGAAGCTGGTAGCAAAAATTACCCCCACACTTTTCGTCTACATAACTGCTCTAATATCCTTCATTCTACCGTTTTATAGACCCGTATTTCACATTCGACCGCGTCTTTCCAGCATATATTATATCCTTATCATGTAGATCTTCGTTCTCCAAAATGATGTCGAGATGGTCTACTGAGTTGGCGCATTGTCTAGAATAGTACAAGACTATCAGATAAGCAAAAATTTGCTGAAGTGAGGAGCGCCACGCATCGCCTGGACAGTCCTGCTTCCCTGTAAGTCATGGCCATTGAATTAAAGCCATTGGAGGCGTCTCAGCTGTGGACAGATGTGGGAGCGCCCGGTCAGCTGGGTGGCGACAGCCTGCCGGACTGGGATGGCCAGATGACAGGGTCGCGGGTGTAGCCGGGATGCTGGACTGGGATAGCCAGATGACAGGGTCGCGGGGGTAGCCAGGCTGCTGGACTGCGATAGCCAGATGACGAGGTCGCGGGGGTAGCCGGGCTGCTGGACCACGACGGCCAGATGACGGGGTCGCAGATGTGGCCGGGCTGCTGGACCGCGACGGCCAGATGACGGAGTCGCAGATGTGGCCGGGCTGCTGGACTGCGATGGCCACATGAGGGGGCTGAGCAGGTGGACGAGCTGCTAGAGGGCTCTCAGCTTTACTAACTCTGCCGGGAAGATGCTGGAGGCTGCACGCGTGGGCCGCGAGAAGTGCGGCTGACGCTGCTGGTGCGTCTGGCCGACGGTATCCACCGGCAGTGCGGCATTATTGACCCCGCCCGACGGCGTGTCACGCGCATGGGTGCGCAGTGCATGGCAGCAGTGTCAGATAAGGTGCACAAGTCAATACCAGGTCACGAAGCCGCGTCAACTGGTATTTACGACCAGCCGGAGATCGCCAGTCTGCCCCATGTGCTCTGATTGATGTACAACTTGCAGACGATTACAAGGTATCTCATGACAAGTTACCTTTTTTTTTAAAAGCCGATGCGACCCAAACCGGCGTTTCCCGCCGTTGTTCAGCGACTCGGTCGCGCCTCCGCACGGATCTGACACACCACCCTGACGTCATCTCATTCTGTCACCAACTGTCCGGTGCATCTCGGTTCGGTCACGCCCCTGCACGGATCAACGTCCGCCCCATACTGACACACCACCCTGACGCCATCTCATCCTCCGTCACCAACTGTCCGGTGCATCTTGGTCGGTCACGCCCTGCACGGATCGACGTCCGCCCTAGACTGACACACCACCCTGACGCCATCTCATCCTCCGCCACCAACTGTCCGGCGCATCTCGGGCGAGTCTGCCCACCGCTCGGCCGCGCTGGACGCGCAGCACCCGCGACCGCGGACGAGCAGTACACCTCCGCAGTGGCACCATCCGTGTTCAGGTGCACGGTCCAGGGGCATGTTCGGTGGTGATGCACCCGCGGGTGGCGAGCGGCGCCACTGTGCGCCGGCTGCTGCCCACCGGCCCACCGTCTCGCCTCATCCGCATTGGGCAGTTTCAGGGAGCGAGGTGGGATGGTGTCAGAATGGTGTGCTTTGGAAGGCGGAGACGTCGATACGCGTAGACGCGGCCGAGTTGTTTACCTGCGCTAGGAAGTTGTCAATTTCACACATCTGTTTCTCAGGCAGGAGATATCGTTACTTAAAGCAAGTTGCCTCCATCAATTATCGCTGGGCTTTCCTCTGAACAAGCTCTCGGCTTCCCGCCATTGCACTGAGCGTATTACGGCGGTTTAGAGCCCATCGAAGTCTGCTGGTGACAGAAATTGTGCTTACGTACGTCAGACGCGAATAACTCGATGATCATATTTTTGCTGGCCTTGAGCACAGCATAGGTCAATGAGGGGGAGCCTCCTGCGACGTTTCTATGGCATCATGCAGGCTAAGGTGACCTTGAAATAGTCCTCATGAAATAGTCTGCACAAGTTTGCGGGTGTCAGGCTCAGAAACCAGAGGGTTTAAGTCTCAAAATACGTAGTGCTGAGAACTCAACTGAATAATCTTTTAAACTGTGATCTTAGTTTAAACACCCATTAAAATCTGGAAGGCTTCTTTCAGCAATCAACTGCAACCCAGTTTGAAATGTTCAATGACATCGATCAGCTTGCTGCATCTGGACCTAGGTACTGAGAGGGTGCGCACTTTCAGGTGAGAAGCCGTACGCCTGCACGCACGAGGGCTGCGACAGAGCGTACTCCAACTCATCGGACCGCTTCAAGCACACCCGCACGCACCTGGTGGACCGGCCCTACGGATGCCGCTTCCCAGGCTGCTCCAAGACCTACACGGATCCCAGCTCTCTGCGCAAGCACATGAAAGCGAACGGTCATTGTCGGCCGACCTCCCTGCCGAACGGTCGTCAGTCGACCTCCCCGTCAAACGGTCACTGTCGGCCGACCTCCCTGCCGAACGGTCGTCAGTCGACCTCCCCGTCAAACGGTCACTGTCGGCCGACCTCCCCGCCGAACGGTCGTCAGGCGACCTCCCCGTCAAACGGTCACTGTCGGCCGACCTCCCCGTCAAACGGTCACTGTCGGCCGACCTCCCTGCCGAACGGTCGTCAGTCGACCTCCCCGTCAGACGGTCACTGCCAGTCGCCCTCCCCGTCAGACGGGCACTGCCAGCCGTCCTTCTCGTCAGACGGTCACTGCCAGTCGCCCTCCCCGTCAAACGGTCACTGCCAACCGTCCTCCGCTTTGAGCCGCGACTATCAGCCGCGTTCCCCGCCAAACGGCCGCTATCAGTCGTCCTCCCCTTCAAACGGCCGCTGTCAGTCGCCCTCCCCATCGAACTGTCACTGCCAGCCTCCGCTGGCTACCTCCTCGTCGCCTGGTAGTGAGTCCAGCGGGGTCAAAAATGTTTCCTGCAGACGGAGGGTGCTGACAGCGGCCATCGGCGAGTCAGCCGCCGGGCTTCCCATGCTGGCGCCACTTGCGTGCGAGCCCAGCAGCTGCGCGTGCGGGAGGATGCAGCCGCAGCTCCGCTGGCTCTGGCACCCCTGGATGCAGCACGTGAGCAGCTTACTTGGTGCGCCGACTGTGTTCTGTCCAGTGCTGAGCGAAGAGCGACCACCGTGTCCGGCACCACTCGACCTGAGCCTGCCACCGACCTGAGACTGTCACCTAACCGAGCCTGCCACCGACCTGAGGCTGTCACCCACCCGAGCCTGCTACCCAGCCAAGCCTGCCACCCCGTAAGCCTGCCATATACCTACGCCTGCCACCGATCCGAGGCTTTCACCGACCTGAACCTGCCACCCTCTTGAGCCTGCCACCCACTCGAGCCTGCCATCCACCCGAGCCTGCTACCCTCCTGAGCCTGCCACCCACCCGAGCCTGCTACCCTCCTGAGCCTGTTACGCTCCTGAACCTGTCACCCACCCGAGCCTGCTACTCACCCGAGCCTGCTGCACTCCTGAGCCTGCCACCGCCTTCACCAGTTACTCATTAAGATTGGCACGTACTGATCTGTGTCGCTGCCATGGTGCAGTGATCGTTACGAGCGGTCTCACCTGGGATCGCCTGGCGATGGCCAGTGTCGGCTCCGGACATCCAGCGAATTCGTCAGGCGGCTCGGTCTTAGCGACTACGGTCAATGTTTTGTGCTGATTTACGGCACCTTTACAACTTATATTGGTACATGATATTGGTGTTTATGTTGTATTATCAGTGTGGTGTTCTTTCCCTGTACTATTTTCGTTTCTCTTTTAAGCTACGCCGTTTTAGAGCCATAGCACGTTGAGCAAGATGAGAGTGATGCGTAAATGAGCCTCGGTTGCCTTTGCAATACAGGAATGGCCTCGATCCGCGCTTTGCTGACTGAGCTCACAAGCGCTGTAAGCTTGGCTGGGAACTCATGGTGCTGAATCCAGCCTGAAGCCGGGACATTATGCCCCCCCCCCCCCCCCGGTCTCGCTTGCCTTTCACAACTCCCTCGGGAGGTCTTTATCCATGACGCGAAGCCCAATGCTTAAGTTTCTGTACGTTTCGTCTTCATGGATTCGTCGCTTGGGTTTTATCGGTGACTTGTATATTGCATGTCTGGCTTGTTTTAGCCACCACCGGCTTGTCCACTCGGACGCCAAATAAATGTCGATGTCATGATTACGATGACAGTTGCTCACGCCCTTTTTTAAGGTGCGATGTACGGTTCCTGCGATGCAGAATTGCCGCACGAGCTTCCTCACCCGCCCCAGCATGCGAGCCGGTGAGCGTTTTAGCGTACCCGCTGAACCAAAAGTAGCAGCCGAGGACGGACGACGACGATGCAAAGGTTTTGGCCACTTCATTATTCATGTGCTGATGCGTGTGGCTCCCTTCCTTAAAATCCATCCCAAATCTGTCGAAAGAGGACAAAGCTCGCGCGTTCCTTTAAAAGCGTAAAATTGTCATTCTTACATGACGTTCACATAGGTGCAGTAGCACGGTTTATTTCGGTGTACAGCTCTTTTTGTCATCGATCTGCCCGCCGAGCGTCACTTTAGAACACATAGGGCACCATCCTATACGGCACCTGGCTGCAGTAGCGCCGCCAAGCCTTGCCATACTTCTCACCGCATTTAGCCTCGTCCCGGAACACGCGGTGCACCAACAGTACGCTGAGGAACATCACGTACAGAAAGGGCCAGAGGCCGTGGCCCAGGCCAGGCAGGCACCAGCAGAGGGCGGCGGCGATCTCGAACGTGTAGTTCAGGTGGCGCGCCACGCCCCAGCAGCCTGCCGTCAGCAGGCGTGCCTTGTGCCAGCCGCTGGCCGTGCGGTACTCGGCCGACACGAATGTGGCGGGCCGGCCCCACAGCCGGCACTCGCCGGTCGACCGACGGAAGCGCTGTTTCTCCAGGTCCACGCGGTAGTTGAGAGCCACGGCGGCCAGACCCAGCGCCAGCACCAGCCCCGCTTGCGTGTCGTTCAGCAGCGAACGGTGGCGCACCAGGAAGCAGGTGCTGTACGTGTAGAAGCAGGGCACCCACACCATGCAGCCCCAGCAGAGGTAGTAGCCGGCGCGGTCCAGCGTGATATCCAGCGTGCTGAAGTAGCCCGTCTCCCACCAGAAGAATTTGGCTATGTATACGGTCTGGATGGCGGCGCCTACCAGCTGGCCGGCGGAGGGGCCGTGTAGCCGGGCGCCGGCCACGCAGAACACCAGCACCAGCAGCTGCCAGAGCATCATGCCTAGCCGACAGTTGGTCAGCTGTTTGACGTCGACTCCGAGCAGGCGCGGATGCAGCTCCATGCCGCGGTAGAACTCGTGTGGCAGCGGTCGCGGAGGGACCACCTCCGCCGTCTGCGGCGCCGTCTTGCCTCGCACCAGCAACAGCGTGCACAGCAGCAGCGCCAGCACATTCAGGGACGCCAGGATAGCCGCCATGTTGGAGAACACGAGCACCGAGACGCCCGGCAGCAGAAGCGTCTCGACCAGCGCGTACGCGGCCAGGGTGGCTGTGTAGTAGAGCATGCCGTTGGCGCGGTAGGAGGGCGTCTGGCCGAAGTCGGTGGTCGGGCCGTGGTGGACGGCCCCGGGCAGCACCAGGAATAAGTACGCCCATAGCACCATCACGGCCGTGAAACACCAGGAGAAGGCATTGCCGGTGAACACAGCCCAGGAGAGCGGCTGCGGGTCAGCCACGCGCGTCAGCACCTGTACCACGGGCGTGAAGAAGAGCAGGAACAGCGGTGGCACCACGCTGTAGTGTAGCGTGTCGTACAAAGTCATCTCGCCCAGCGCACCCTGCAAAGGCAAGTGAGTCAGCTGCATGCTGGTATTCCATCACAGGTCATGTATACGCCTTTCCAGTGACAGCGCTCACTGGCTACATAGACGAAGTTTGAGCATGGGCCTAACACTTTGTGTTTGTGCCCAGTAAACCTACGTGAGATGGACCACTGCCCATAACATTTTGCAGTGCATTAGGCCCGAATTCTGTACAGGCACGTCCAACCCGAATTGGCACACGGTACGAAGCTGCTGATCTGGACGTTTCATCAACCCAGAAGTTCTTTGCTGGTTTGTAGTTTGTGTTCATACCGCTGCAATGCCAGGGTTAGCGAAGACACGGGCCTGGCTTTGAACCGCATTTTAGGACCCTTCCTGCCGTTTCCCGACCACACGTCGAAGTGAAAAAGGGAAAAGATCCATGCAGCAGTCCAGTTGTACATCGGCCTTGGCCTAGACTGAATCAGAAACTATGCCAGCAGGTAAACATCTTGACAATTTACAGGACAAATGAATGTGCACTGACTGACGTCTGAGCTAAACATGACCCAACTTTTGACCCAACGACAGGAGCTCGGACATTTAAGCTGAGTATCTGTCACAGCTGATGGTGATGCAAGCCTGTGTAGCGATTATATCCAGTTTAATTCAGCTTAGACGCTAGCAGTCTGCGTTCTGTTGTTAATGGACAGACTTTAATGTTCAGTTTAATTCAGCTTAGATGCCAGCAATCCACTTGTGTTGTTAATGGACAGACTTAAATGTCCAGTTTAATTCAGTTTAGATGCCAGCAATCTGCGTTCTGTTTCCAATGGACAAACTTGCCTTTCCTGATAAATTCATGCCGAGTTACTGATTACATTATCCAGCTCTGCATTCAGCTTGCTAGGTAGTTCTGAACAACATATTTGAAGCACTACGTTGTGTAATACGATGGTCTCGCCATCCCCTCTCTTTGAAAGTTGAAGACGCTCCTTGCATCTCATTTCATCCACCACCAAATGCCACTGCTGAAATCCCAGCAATGCCCACATCGCTCGTGCGTTGCGCAGGATCATGACAGTATAGTGGTTTAGTATACTGATCATTAAGCGGAATCTCTAAAAAAAATCATGTATTTTTGGACCAGAGATCTTTTGACTTCAAAGACTTATGTGGAGATGGAATAACCTACAAAAAGATCACCATTGGAGTATTTGTAGTCCATGGACAGTTTGCATATCTGGGAGCAGTGCTAGGTGTCATGCAAAATCCGCACTCGCCACCCACGCAGTGAATTTTTATCTCAATACAGTTACGTATAAGCAAAAAACCTTTAGAATTTCATCATCATTTAGCTTTCATGTACGTATTTTACATTTGTCGGAGCATTAGCGGCCGGCATTGATGTGACTTTGAAATGGACGGGGGCGCATTTTGCATGTATTGTGTTAATCAGTTAACACCGCTCATTTTCCACTAGCTTTGACACACCTTTCTGTGTTCGAAACGTAGTGAAAACTTATATTCTACGTGAAGGCAATTTTGTTGAGATATTAGGCTAAACTGTGTGAGTGTTTTAGTGCATTCGCGAGGAACATTACGCATATAGATAAGACAATAGCAACAGCCTTATTCCTCGTAAAGAAACCGGAAGAATTGAGAAATAGCCCCTATATCTTCATTCTCCTGGTTTTTATACCAGAAATAAGGCTATTACTACTGTCTTATTAGGCTAAATTGTCCCTAACTGTTTCCCGGCAAATTCATTTTTTGTATGGACCCTATTAACAAACACCCATGGATAGTCCAGATTGTGATGTGCGGCATTTTCCGGATACTTGCATATTAATCCTTTGAGTGTCTTATCAGGCCAGTTCCATATATTTGCATTTTCTTCTGCCTGATCCACATCGTATTTTTTAAAGTACATGGCGGAACTAGTGCTAGTGAGCCAACATCAACGTCGACGATTTAAGGTGTTAGTAAAAGCCATATTGCCTTATTGTATTGCCATATCATCTCCAGTAGAGCAGCATGACATTGCTGACATCTCAAAGGAGCGGCGCCAAACGGTCGCTCTCGGCCAAGCACGTGATCAGGGACACTAACGTGCCACCGACGAGAAGGTCTCGGAGGCTTGTCATTCACGAAGGCAGTAATATTAGCAGGTCTAGCACTAGATCTTCACTGGCAGGAGCTTTCCATATGCAGAATACGCACAGAATGCCGACCAACACGACGTCATTTTATCAAAGCCGTACCCTAACAACGCAAAACACCGCGGCTTATCTTACACGCCGACAACCGTTATGGTTTTGCTTGCGTGTTATGCCCATACCAGATGAAGTAACGGCCCTGTACCAGTCAGGGTCTCAGTACTATACGGATACCCTTCGCCCCGCTCCATCTGGTGGCCCGATGAGCCAAACTGGGGTCCCCGCCACAATTACTGGACACAGTATGCCATCAACGGATTCCTTTACGTCGGTTGGACCATCTACGGTGATCCCAGGCCGACTGCCCCGGTCAGGTGGCCCGCAGCGTCATGAAGCGGACCGACGCATGATGTATCCCGCTGAGGACCTTGGAATCGACCAGAGGGCCCAGGCTTACGTGCAGTCAGAATGACAACCGGTAGGTATCTCGGGCTCGGACAGAAGGCCCTTGAGCCCCTGGCGGGAGAAGTTGCCACCCACTGCTCTACCTACAGGGCCCCTGCCGTGAGAGAGGAGGGGCCCCCTAAGGCTCAATGCGCATCGAAACAAGGTAAAACAAATTATCGACACACCAAACGGACGTTTACCTTAGTCCTGAGTTCGTCCTTTTGACATCAACAATTGCAAAATATAATTTTAAAATGTTGAGTTTCCGTGCTGGCATTTAGGAGCAAAAACATCGATGCCTGGAGCTAGAATCGCCGTCGAACCGAGTGGCGTTGGCCGTCGCCGCTAATGTTATGTGGCGGGAGGTGAAAGCGCGATAAAAACAGACGTCGGTGAGCGATGCTCTTGATACCTATTGGAATCGCTGTACATCGTTCGAAAGGTTAGACTGGGGTTATACTTCGCCTCTGCAATATTGCGGCTGATCCTCAGATCGGCTTAGCATTTACAGCAATACGAATAACACAGACTGCACCACGCGGTGGTGCACTTTCAAAATCAGCAGCCACGGTGCACCGCGGTGCTGTAAACGCTAATCCGTTACGGACATCAGTATTATAATCGGATGGGTAAAATCTGCCATCAGGACCACCGACCAAATGTTCCAATTTTTCCGTAAAACGTCCAAAAGGACTAACTTCCAACGCGCGGTCGTTTCGTCCAGCGGTTGGTTCCGCCTGGTGTTATGCGTGGGACCGACGACGCGCGGCTTACAGAGACTGCAACACCCAGCGTGAAACACGATTTCCAGATATAACGGCCGTCAGTTGGCTCCCAATCAGCGTCGTGCTGGGTGCAGGTGACGTGATCGAACCATGACGCATTGAGGAGCATGTCTACCAGACAGCATTGTGCTGTGAAGAGCAGTCTTTTCCGCTTCAAAGTGCACCAATAGTTATAAGTGAGCTTGTATCATCATACCTGATGCTGGCCTCATTACCTCCAAATGAGAAACGTTCCCTTTAAAGAACGCAAACCAAGGTAGATGAAGGAAATCCTCCCCAGAAATAAGGCGGACAACGTTCAGAGAATTGTATTGGGAGTAGACTTTTCACCAGCAGAAGCCCGCCTGTCAATCCGGCGCCCACCTTTACGGAAGCCCGACTGTGCTCCTGGTTCGCAGCTGCTGACTTGGCTTCCATTTTGCCCGTCTACCAAGTCCAAAGCCAATGTCCTCGTATTTGGGTTTACGTGCTGTAAACACGAACCCACTGACGGAACTGACTAATCGTGAACTACCTATTGGCAAACCTATCACGGCGCAGATGTGATTTCTTCGCAGCTACGCGGTCAGAGCAGTCCCAAAGCGAATTTCACAAACTTTTTCACAAACTTTCCATTAGTCTGTTCGTCGTTTCTTATCTCGCTTTTATGCTGTGGACACATCCTGCATGCACCATGCATCATTTGTAAAGCAAGGACTTTATCCTGCTCTTTCTTCCCACCGTGAGCTTTCGTTCCGACTTTGTATCTCCCTCCCTCCCCCCCCCCCCCCACAGCCTAACTGCTCAAGGCGCTAGGAATGGGAATTACCAGGAAAATCCTGCCCCTCCCCCCAACTCGAAACCCTGTATGTAAGTACATGTGTGATTTGTACTCCGGGCTAATGCAACCCGCGTAAAGAACGCTTGTGTGAAAAGAACATTATACCCTGACTTATCGCGGCCGTATTTTATATTGATTTATCACAACAGACCCCGGGTACAAAATGCATGCACTTGGGGCAAGTCCACAACCACAGGCTGGAGACGATAAACCCGTCAACTGCATCACGAAGCGCAGCTCGCCTGACGGGAATATGATCGCCGTACACACATACATCAAGGATGGACTACAGAGTTCAGCACCATCTATGGCTGAATGTCCAAACCACCGATTCGGTCAAGCCCGCCCATAGGCACACACGGAACCCACGGCCAGATGGCCAGCGGGCGGCCGACAGCGGGGATTCGCACACTGCCGACGCAGCGGCCTCAGGGTACGTTGCGGGTGATGGGTGATGACTGGTCACCCATGTGGACCAACGAACGGCGCGGTGTTTTAAAGTACTGCTGTCCGAGACGTGCCCGCGATTCTTTCGAGATTCAGCGGCCGCTGGACCCTGGACGCGTCACAACTCGCCTGGGTGACGCGTCACGACTCGCCTGGGTGACGCATCATGACTCGCCTGGATGACACGTCACGACTCACCTGGGTGGCACGCCACGACTCGCCTGGGTGACTCGTCACGACTCGCATGAGTGGCGCGTCACGATTCGCCTGGGTGACACGTCACGATTCGCCTGGGTGACGCGTCACGACTCGCTGTAGCGCAGTCACGACTCGCCCGGGTGACGCGTCAAAAATCGCCTGGGTGACTCGTCACGACTCGCCTGAGTGGCGCGTCACGACTCGCCTGGGTGACGCGTCAAAACTCGCCTGGGTGACTCGTCACGACTCGCCTGGGTGACGCGTCACGACTTGCCTGGGTGGCACGTCAGGACGCCAGAAAGGCAGGGCGAGGGTCGCGAAACATGAGCTGGATAGCAGCCGCAGTGGAGGGTGCGCGACTCAGGCGCTGCACGTGCCTGGCACGTGACTCGGCGGCGGTGAGCGGGCACGTCGGCTCGTTTGTCGAGCGAGCCGCCTGCTGAGCTGGGGCTGGCCCACGAGCTGAGCAGCGCGACAGGCCGGAGCAGCAGCACCGTCCAAAGCTCCATGTTCAGCACATCGGTGACGTTCAGGCCCTTCGGGTTCCTCCGCAGCATGTTCAGGCCTCCCCGCGGCAGGATCACGCTCACCAGCCTATTACACACCGGGCACCGCCGCCTGCAAAAGTCCAGCCGACGGCACCGACGGCACCGCTTCACTCCGGCATAGAAAGAGCGAGACCGTGGTCGCCTCCACGGGGAACGGCACCCCCATCAGCGATGTCACTTCCACCAGCGCCGCCACCTCCACCAGCGACGCCATCTCGACCAACGACGACACCTCCATCAGCGGCATAACCTCTACCACCGACGCCGCCTCTGCTAGCAACGCGACCTCTCCAGAAGAGAGCACCAGAGGGTCTCCCTGGACCGACGATGGAGGGTCCCCCTGAACCGACGCCTTTTCGGGTCTCACCGGACACTTCCCCTCGTCGTCTCGGGGCCCCTTGGGAGCACAGGACCCTCTATTAGGCGCTGTGGGTCTCTGACGGGGACCCCAACCAGTGTAAATCCCCGGCCCTAGAATTGTAGCTGGACCCTCGGCGGAAGTGGACCCTCGGCCCATACTGATATGCAGCGGACTGTGCTCGATGCTCTTCGGGCCTCCTTGAACACTGCATGTGGCCGACTTGGGCCCCTTGCCAGTACAGTTAGGCGCTGTGGGGCCTCGACCAATTTGAACTGCTGACTTCGGCATTCTCCCAGGTTGGGAAATGGACCTTGCCCCTTGCCAGTAAAGTTAGGCGCTGTGGGGCCTCGACCAATTTGAACTGCTGACTTCGGCATTCTCCCTGGTTGGGAAATCGACCGTCAGGCCCATACCGCCACGGAGCCGACTGAACGTTACTGGTGGTGCCTGGCCAACAGATAGGCCCTGATCGACTCAGCGGACCCTGATTAGCACGCAGGGCCCTCTGGGTGGCATTAAAGTTCCCGGTCCCGCGGGCCATATCCCCTGAGTACGACCTCCGGCCGGCCTTTTGGCCCCTTAATCGTAGGTTCCGAGGGGCCCGAAGGGTCCCTCGGAACCTACGATTATAACCCTACCTATATATAACCCTACCTATAACCTATATATATATATATATGTGTGTGTGTGTGTGTGTGTGTGTGTGGGTGCCTTAGCAGATATCCTATATCCTAATAAAGGGTAGCTAGCAGTCGCAACAAGAAATTATTATTGTCAGAAGTAATAATGCAAGCATGCGCGAAACTGGTAGATCCAAATTTCAACTAAATGAATTTACGAACTATGCGGCAGAAACCGAGCTAGAGTTCTTGGGCTCTTTCACATTTCAACTCAACGAAATATTTTTCAACCGCGACTAATAAAAACACCAAATCTCAGGCCATAGAAGCCCAAACTTTGGCATCAACACGTGAAGAACACTGTCTTTACGTGACGTACCAGTCACGTGAGTGTCCTACATTTATTTGTGACAAGTTACATACGGCTCGGACCGTTTGAGAACGTCGAGCCTGACGCGTTCTTCAGCGGGTGGCACCAACAGTTAACGTTCGGAGGGTACTCCACTCCTTCCGTTTTCGCCACAGCCGTAATACTGCAGCTCACAATTACTGAGAAGCCTCCGGAAGCACGTGCTTCGACTTTTCCCGTCCGTGTCGTTAGCCAGATATCGGTTGATACTACGTGTCTTATCGACAGCTGTTTGCTTACGTAACTCGAGTGCTGGACTGTGACCAGACGTGCAAGCGCTAGCCTCGCGCTGATCGGGGCCACTTCACCGCGCGAAGGTCAGCGGCTGATGCCCCAAAGCCCAAGGCGGATTCAGGATTGGTGCACAGTAGGTGCCGCATCCGATCGAATGGCACCTACCAGTGATTGAGAAAGCTACTAAAATCAAGTCAGTCATGGTAAGGCTAAGGCGAGAGCACGTCTGATCTCGCACGTTTGCGCATCTTCAGTCTGTTACGCTACATGACTACGCTTCTGTTTTTTGTGAGGACGATGACGGACGTTGGTGCACACTACGTTCATTGCAAAGTGCAAACAACAACAAATTCTTGACCCTCACTTGAAACAAGATTATGCAGCTGCGAATGCTGCTTTCATCAGTGCTGCAACCAGACACCGACACGAGGAAAGATAACAACAACGCAGGCTCCCAGCTCTCCAAGTTCAGACAGCGTACGTAACCATGCCAACCATGACGTAACCATATCAACGAACGCCGCAAACGAGCATACATGGGAGCCGGTTTACATGTGCATGCAAGAGTATTGGCCGAGAAACGAGAGACTTTGCCGCCATGTCACCATCCTCAACACGCAAGCGTTGATCACAACTACGACAAAATCGGTTTTAGCTCAGATGATGGGCAAGACCAGACACAAACAGCATGAAACAAGCATGCAGTGGTGGCGCGTGCATGCGCACGGGCTTTGGCATGCGTGCTTCCTTGTCCAATATTTTTGTTAGAAGTTATCGTGACTTATCAAGATAACGTGGTCTAACGCTTCAACGTCCAACGAGCGTGGAATCTGGTTGACTTACCTCCACTTACAACCAGAAAGAATGCGGAAAAGGAGGATGGAGCGCTTTGGAAAGGTCATAAAGGGGCTATTGAGGGGCTTTTATCTATGACGGCATCGCACTGGAAGAGCACATCGTGTAATGTGTCATCATTCTCAGTACTGATCAACTGCAGTGTCACCGACCAGCGGCGCACGGAAACACAGGATAACTGACCTCACGTGCACAGTCGCAGGCTGCAGTTGCTTATCCGCCGAGGAGGTTGAGTTAACGAGTAGCGGTCGGCGCGCGCCCCAGTCCGGCGATGGTGCGTCGCTGCAGTCCTTGCCACGGCCGGCCGGCTTGCGGTCGGCGCCTGCCTCACTCCGGCGCTGGTCTGCCGCTGCCGCCGGCCGTCTGTGTGGATATCAGGTCCTCCCGCCCGCTACGCGCGTCGTCGCGAGACCGCCAGATGTGACCGCCAGGGGTAGGGGGGGGGGGGGCGGCCGGGCGCCCCCCTCCGCCCGGCGGAGTCTGTCACCGGGAAGCGGCGCTGCTGCCGCCCTGAACGGCAGGCGATGCAGCAACGTCGCCATCAGCCTCTGGGAAACAGAAGGGAAGCCGAGCATACCCTGACGTGAATTTAAGGCGTAGATTGCAAGTGATGAGCATAGGAAGCCGGCTTGGGGCACCTGCTCCACGGCGCGCAGCTCAGTTATTTCTTCCCAAAGTCAATTTATGGGAACAAAAGCAAATAACAACACTCGAGGTGCTCTCCATTCCAGGCTTCACCTGTTTCAATTGGGCGGGTTGCGTATGGTTTCCATTTTAAAACTGACGTCGAGAATAACGAACATCGCGCTCACAATCTGGTGGCATAGCAACAGAGAATACTGTAAGCGAGATCCTCGTTTTTGGCGGCTCCAGGCCTGTTTTGGGAAGGCATGTCAGCATCAGTCATAGCCTTTCTGCTTTTCGTTTAAGTGCAGCAGTGGATCATTGTTGATGTCTGGGGCCATTGGCATCCAAGAGGGATTGGTCCTTTCATTTTTTAAAAACTCCTGTACGTGCATATACAGCTGCTGCAAACCATCAGCTTGCCCATGGAGACCAATGCAGGGACGCAGCTCGCGGGTGCCCGCATAGAGTCGCACAGCCGCTGCTGCACACCTTCAGCTTGCCGACGGAGACCAATGCAGGGACGCAGCTCGCGCGTGCCCGCATAGAGTCGCACAGCCGCTGCTGCACACCGTCAGCCTGCCGACGGAGACCAATGCAGGGACGCAGCTCGCGCGTGCCCGCATAGAGTCGCACAGCCGCTGCTGCACACCGTCAGCCTGCCGGCGGAGACCAATGCAGGGACGCAGCTCGCGCGTGCCCGCATAGACTCGCACAGCCGAGCTTTGTCGGCTCGCTTCAACGGCTGACGAGCGTGGAATCTTGTTGATCTACCTCCACTTACAACCAGAAATAATGCGGAAAAGGAGGATGGAGCGCTTTGGAAAGGTCATGAAGGGGCTATTGAGGGGCTTTTATCTATGAAGGCATCGCACTGGACGAGCACATCGTGTAATGTGTCATCATTCTCAGTACTGATCAACTGCAGTGTCGCCGGCCAGCGCCGCACGGAAACACAGGATACCTGACCTCACATGTACAGTCGCAGGCTGTACATTATCCTCCCAGGGGGTTGAGTTGCCGACGAGCTGACGACGACGAGTTGAGTTGAGTTAAGGTCTGGCTATGCGGTTGTGGCAAAAATGCCGATTGTCGCGGGTAGGTGCCCGCAGCATTATCACACACTACATGTAAATAATTTACTTTTCAAATTTGTGAGAAAGGTCCGTAACCAAACATGCATGGAAAATACATCTTACTGAACGACTATCACGTATGTAATTATTGTAAGAAGGCCACTTTAATCTTATTGAATACTTAGCACGCCTTTCATTTCACAAGCACAAGATGGTAAACCATCTTGAAATGTAATAAAGTCAGCATGCGGAGATGGTGAAAGGCTAGATGAAGAACCTGCAAAAATGCGGAGCGTAAAATAGCCGACTTCTCAGTCCGGAAAATTACCAAATGACCATCTGCGGAATAGGAATGTACCAAAACCTTTGCAAACCAAAATGGCGAACGGCTAAACAGCGGACTGGTTAAGCCCCATGCTTCACTACATGGTAACATGAAAAAGCGGCGACAAGAACAATTGCTGGCTGCCTGGCTGGCTGACCAGCTACACAAATTCGGAGGTGCTGTGCTTACTAAAGCTGAGCATTCGCATTCGACAGGCAAGAATGTCCGCAAGACATAGGAGAATGACCGCCTCGTAGTTGAATGTTCGAAGTTGTGTTTGGATTTACCGTGCATTTTAATACCGGCATCAATACGGAAATATTTGGAAACATTTGATTGGTGAAATCAGAAGGCAAGTGCACAGCTATTTGCAAAAAATTGCCAGCATTTCAAAACTCGCACCGCCAATTATGGAATTCCAGCAATAGCCTCCGAGCCAACGCGATTTCCGTGTGCTGCGTACCAGCTTCTGGGCACCAGTAATCTGTACGCCAATTATGGAATTCCAACACTAGCTTCCGAGCCAATGCGTATTTCCGTATGCTCCGTACCAGCTTCTGGGCACCAATAATCTGTAGTGGGTGTCCGGTCGGCACAAGCTGTCGAAAACACACGGCTCTTAAGACGCCCTCGGGTGGGGGTCAAATTGACCCCCCGAAGGTTTTTCCAGAATGGTTTCGAACGGCGCGGCGCAGCCGCACCGAATTTTGCATAGCTGTAGACAATTGAATAGCGGATCGTTTGGCATCGCAAATTTAGATGTGCCTTGTAAGGTCGCTGACCTACGACAGGTCAAAGTCAGGCCATGGTTTCAGGGAAGACAATTTCTAGCGAATTCTTCAATCTGATCCAACAACGGAGTGTTAGACGAAGCCATAATCTCTGAGACGCTTTCTTAGGCAACACAACAGTCACATGAGCAAATTACACTGACCTAAGGTCAGGTATGAAAGTCACACCAAGGTCAAAACCAACCTGTTTTGTTACTCTGGGGCATGCTGTGTCCGGTGCTCATTTCGAGTTTATTGATAGCAAGAACCACATTATACATCTTCCATGGACTTCTTAGAGCTCATAATAGGTCATTGACCTAAAATGACCCAGGTCAACATTTTTTTTTATTTAAAGAACGTACTGCCTAGCGTAATCTTTGTCGCTTTGTCAAATGCAAAACTCAAAGCAATCTTGCATGATTTTGGTCACCTTGACCTTAAAAAGGTCAAACATGGTCACTGACCTTGAATGGGAATGCGACCTTTTGCATAGAAACGGTTATCTAGGTTCTAGGGGCACTTTGGAGATCAACCTGGAATTTGACCTTGTTTGACCCTTTTTAATCCGAAAGTCATGACCTAGGATGACCTATATATATACACACATATATATAAATATAAATATAAATATATATATATATATATATATATATATATATATATATATATATATATATATATATATATATATATAGTGTGTGTGTGTGTGTGTGTGTGTGTGTGTGTGTGTGTGTGTGTGTGTGTTGTGGGTGTGTGTGTGTGTGTGTGTGTGTGTGTGTGTTGTGTGTGTGTGTGTGTGTGTGTGTGTGTGTGTGTGTGTGTGTGTGTGTGTGTGTGTGTGTGGTGTGTGTGTGTGTGTGTGTGTGTGTGTGTGTGTGTGTGTGTGTGTGTGGGGTGTGTGTGTGTGTGTGTGTGTGTGTGTGTGTGTGTGTGTGTGTGTGTGTGTGTGTGTGTGTGTGTGTGTGTGTGTGTGTGTGTGTGTGGGTGTGTGTGTGTGTGTGTGTGTGTGTGTGTGTGTGTGTGTGTGTGTGTGGTGTGTGTGTGTGTGGGTGTTGTGTGTGTGTGTGTGTGTGTGTGTGTGTGTGTGTGTGTGTGTGTGTGTGTGTGTGTGGTGTGTGTGTGTGTGTGTGTGTGTGTGGGTGTGTGTGTGTGTGTGTGTGTGTGTGGTGTGGTGGTGTGTGTGTGTGGTGTTTGTGTGTGTGTGGTGTGTGTGTGGTGTGTGTGTGGTGTGTGTGTGTGTGTGTGTGTATGTATGTGAGTGTATGCATGTAAAACCATATCCGAGAGAGCGAATATACTTTTCATAACACTACTGAGAGGCTGTCGGCTGGCGCTGGAACATATTTGCCAGCTTTACCAGGTTGACCCCCTGACAGTGTGTCGCTCGCAGCGGTGATATGCAAAGTTACGGCAGTTAGCTGAGAATATGTGTTGTCCCTCACGGCCAGTGCGGCTGCGTGCACATGATAGCACTGTGGGAGCACTGTTGGCCGGCTACGTATGTTGTTCGTCAGCCGGTTACACGTATTTTGTTCCTATATAATCGTGGCAGCTCACTACTTACAGGGAATGTTTATAATAAAAGATATTGCAGCAGGCATCACACATGACGAAATAAGCTCGCTTATGACTGTGGATATACTTTTGACCGGGAGAGGCTGCTGTGGACAGCACAATGTCTCCGTTAAGTAAAAACGCTCCTTAACATCATTGTCTGATGTCATCGTCACTTGCAGAACGTTGGTTGAGAGCCAATTAACGGCCGTTAAATCTGGAAATCGTGCTCATGAACACCGGATATGAGCGATTCGACAAATATACTTTGTTTAGCCTTGAGCGCTGCATGGCTTACGGAAATAACAGGATTTCAATGACGTCATGGGTGTCTGGGTGATCTTGGAACAGTCTCCATGAAAAGGCTGCACATCTTTGCGGGCGTATAGCTCAAAAGGCAGAGAGTTTTAGGTATTTTAGGTGTAGGACAGGCAGGGCTGCGTAAACTGCACCGAGTGACCTTCAAAATGGCTATTCCAGTTCAAAACCCCAGGCAAATGTGAAACACTTCTTTTAAAGGGAGCATACCCACTTTTTGCGTTTTACTTATTGTCACATCAGACGTGCACGATCTGACCAGCAATGCCAGTTTTCTCCTAATCCTTTCAAACAGCTCATAATTTTGATTTGAAGGAGCCCGGGAGAAATCTCACTTCATTACCTGCTCATCACTACGAAAGTAATGCATTGAATAAGACCTGCGTTTCTAATGCGGGCGTTCCGCAATGTTGGCAATACAATAATGCGTCCAATTGTTTGTGTGATGCATGCTACGAAAGCTTGAAAACTGTTAAAAACAAAAACGCTATGCGAACACGAGGCTATTTTCAAGCGAATTTAACGAAACGTTATGCCAAGGCTTTGCTCCCCCCCCCCCCCCCCCACAGCGAACACCACAGTGGCTCGTTTGAAGGCGCACTTTGGCTTCGGAAATGGAAGCAGCACATGACCTGCGCGAGTGATGCATTGCTTCAAACTTCACCCAACCAACTTCTCGGCAGCAGGCCGTTTCCCGCTGAGCCAATCATAAGTGTTTTTTGTTAGCACCAGCAGAGGTGCGCACGGTCGTTGCTATGACGATAGTGGTCACACCTGCAGGGAATAAATATAGTGGCACTGGGCAGTGCTGTTATGATGCGTGAATGGCGTAATTTGGATTCGAAAATATTCAAAACTCATCCTTACTATGCTTTGGCGGTGCTGTAGTCGTACTATCCGGTGATTTTATTAGACATAACTTGTCCTGATGTTTCACTTTAGTATGTTTTTGGAACATGCCCTAAAAGTCAGACACTCCTTTACGGTCGCAGGCCGGCCGGTAGGGTCGTGACAAACCCATGGCGGGTCAGGAAGCACTTGGAATCACGCTTGGAGGATGCGACCGTGCGCATTCGATGGCAATGATAATGCTCACTCAGCTGAAAAAGGAACTCGCTTGTCGGCCGACGAAATACATTTTGTTGGGCTGAGCACCTTGCGCGTCACTCACATCACATCACTCACATCACACACATCACTCTCATCACTGAATCATCGTGAGCCAGCCGGCAAAGTTACGGCGATCAGTCATTAATGCAGCTAGCCGCGGACAGCGTGTGCGTCCGCGTGCATGCGACAGTACTGTTGGTACACTCTCGGCCGGCAAAGTAAACCGGTAGTCGGCCGAAAGCACTGATTTTATCTGAATGATTGACGGCACAAAACTAAATGCAGGCGGCCGAGCGGAAGGGTGATGGCCAGCATTCCACATCAATGGCAAAAACACGAGGGCGTAGAGCGTCATGGGGTCGTCATGCACATTTGAAAGCACTGCCTGCTCAAGAGCTACCAGTTGACTTTGAAATACGTTTGTCGGGAGGTGTCATCCATTCCATTGTCTTGAACCGCTGACAACCTACCATTCAATGCTGCTGAGCGGGCGACGGCGAGCGGTTTGCGATTTACGGCGATCAATGACAAAATATTTGTTCATGCGCAGCGTGGGGGGAGGGTTATCAGTTCAATGCTGTCATTGTGTGCAATGGCAGCATTGTGGGAGCACTGCAAATCCGGTGACAAAACTTGATCGCCGGACGATGCCATCTGCTTTGTTTACATGACTCCTTGACTTCGTACCTTGGAACGGGGCCGCCCGCCTGGTAGCGTGATGAGCGATGCACAGCAGCAGCAAACACATATATTTTCTCTTACAGAACGTGCCAAATGCCTATTTCATGGCACCGATGTCAGAGTATAACCTAACACTCAAACGCGCTTAAACGTGCCCAAACGGCAGTATTTTGCCGCGTCGTCTGCTTTGAGCGGTACTGGAGCCTCATCGACGATATGAAGTCGTGATCGCGATCCTTCCTAGTGGGCGCGCACCGGTCATAACTGACATCCGCACCCCCTGAGTGATGATATCTCGACTAGTGCGAACAAACCCTACTTTGACTCCAACAAGCCGTCGTCAATCACACGGCGAGGCTGCTCCCCACGACACCGCCCGGCATAACACTACTGTCACGGTATTCAAAACAGTTAAAAAATTCGCGTCAAGCTCCTCTCAGTGACAAATCGCAGAGAACGGCACGCCTATGACAGATGGTTGCTGCGGCTGGCAGGTTCAGATCGCTCCACTGTCAGTTCCACACGCTCCAAAGACCCGGAGACTGGCGCTTCTGAACCGTCGCTGGCTTCAGCCGCCAGTCACTGGCGGACCACCGCCAGCTGCCCCGACAGGATGTCCACCGCCAGCTGCCCCGACAATGTGTCCACCGCCAGCCGCCCCGACAGTATGTCCACCGCCAGCTGCCCCGACAGCATGTCCACCCCGTTCCCGCCCAGCACACTCATCGTCACAACTGGGGCCACTAAGCCGTGCAGATGCCATTGTGGGTGCTAGAGGTCGCGCCCCAAACTGTCGATTTCGTCCAGCATGTAGTCTACCTCAGCTGGCCCCATTTCTGGCACACCCGTAAACACCAGCCGGAAGAAGTTGACCAGCTGTTTGTGCGGCAGTGGCTGGTAGCCGACCATGAGCGAGCCTCGCCGCACCATGGCTTCCTTGACACGCGGCGCCACCTGCGACAGGCGCTCCCACCACGCAGCCGTCTCCTCCTGGCCGCGCAGCGACGGCGGCACGTACCAGAAGCAGACGTTGGCACACTGCGGCGAGGCCAGCACCGGCCGAAAGCCGGGCCGCTGCGCCACCTGGTCGGCGCAATAGCCGGCCGCGGCGAACGTCGCGTCCACCCTCCGCTCAAGGCCGGCGTCCCCATGCGCCTTCCACATGAGCCACAGCTTGAAGCCGTCCACCTTGCGGCCGCACTGCACCGACTTGTCGCCCGTGTCGAAGCTGACGTCGTAGAACTTGTCCTGCTGGAACAGGTAGGTGGCAGCGGCGGCGTTGCAGCGGTGCAGCAGGCCGGCATGGCGCGTCACGAACAGGGAGCACTGCAGCGGCGCGCCCAGCATCTTGTGCGGGTTCCAGGCCACCGAGTCAGCGCGCTCCAGGCCGGCCAGCACAGGGCGCCAGCGGCGCGATAGCAGCGCCGAACCGCCCCAGCAAGCGTCCACGTGCAGCCAGAGGCCGTGCCGGTGGCAGATGTCGGCAATCTCCGGCAGCGGGTCGAAGGCGCCGAGCACGGTGGTGCCGCACGTGGCGTTCACCACCAGTGGCTCGCGGTCCTCGGCCAGCGCGCGCGTCACCGCCGCCTCCAGAGCGTCGGGCCGCATCCGGCCACACTCGTCCGTAGGCACGGCCAGCACGTTATCGTGGCCGTATCCATGCCAGTGGGCCGCCTTCAGGATCGAGTAGTGTGCGTCCTCCGAGGTGAACACCACCATCGGGCGGCGGCCGAACAGGCCCCGCGCCTTCACCTCCGGGTGGCGGTGGTAACGCGCCAGAGCCAGGCCGTACTGGTTGGCCATCGAGCCGCCAGCAGCGAAGATGCCGTCGCCGTCCTGCCAACCGATCAGCTGGCGCACGTGTTCGAGCACGGCAGCCTCGCACAGAATGAAGGCAGGGGCCACCTCGAACGTGTGCTGGTTGGTGTTGAGGCACTCGGTGAGCAGCGCTCCCGCCAGCCCATACTGGTCCACGCCGCCGTACAGCTGATTTCGGAACCGAAAGTCAGAAGTGCGCACCGAGTAGCTGGCCACCTGGCGGCAGAGTTGCAGCAGCGCCGACTCGTCTGGTAGCGGCTCGCCCAGTGTCAGCGGCAGCTGCTGCGCTAGCTGGGCAGGCGACTGGAACTGCAGCACGGGCCGCCGCTCAGCCGGCGGCGCGCTCTCGGCCAGGCGTAGCTCGTCCACCAGCGCCAGCACGCGCCGGTAGAGCGGGCCGGCGTCGGGTTCCGCCGCCATGGTGGAGCCGGCTCGGCGACCGCCGTCGGCTGTCGGCTCAATACGGGTCGGTTGGCGCCGGGCAGCGGGATAGCCGCGCGCGCACTCGGGACGCGCGCCTGCCAACTGAGAGGCCAGGCGTGCGGGCGGCACTAAGCCCACCAGTCGACCCCAGCTGGGCAGCATGCCCGCCCCGGCCGGCACGTCGCGGCGCTTCTGGCAGGCGGCGGCGCGCAAGACGGCTGCGGTTCAATCACAAGCACCGCGGTTATCAGGTAACGTGGGAGGCCGGAGCTGTTTATCTACGCGGCGGAGAAAAAGCCGCTAAATCAAGCCCACGTCCCACGAACGCGCCGATCGCCGACACACTGGCCAGGCGGCGGCGCCAGAACGCAGCGGCGTACCCAGCCACGCAGCTGCCCGCAGCGCCAGTTCGACAGGTTTGAGACCTGCCGGGTCCAACATAGTCCCCATCATGGGTATTGCAGTATTCCTTATTTGATGAAAAAGTCGCAACAAAATCCCGTGGAAGGAACTATTTCTTGACAAATTCTGCTTAGAACAGACTGCACGTTTCAATTCGCAATCACAATAAGCGCTGAGCACGCCAGTGCCAACGGATTCGCCCTTGTCATCAGCGACGCTCAAGGTCATTACCAGCGCATGGCTGGGCGTCGACCTATCGTGGCGACACCTGATGGGCTGTTTGTAAACTAATCTACATCCGTGACCACGCGGGTTTTATATGTGTCAGAGGAAAAAACGGTGAGGGGGGGGGGGGGGGCGGTTCAAGTCTTAGAGAGACCGGAGGCACCAGCGGTGGATACAGGACCGGGGTATCGGCGCAGCTTTAAACGGTTAAGAAGAGGTAGAGTAGGTAATAAATGAAAACTGCTCGCACAATTTCAACCATTTTTGACAGCGAGACGAAGTATTGGGCGAACCTTCAACCCAAGGCATGCCATGGACTCTGGAGTAAGTGCCAGGAGTAAGTCTGTAGGTCCAGGAGTAAGTCCAGTCTGTGCCAGGAGTAAGAGCATAGAAAAACGCCTTGCAGAGGAGAATGGTCACCTTAAACGCCATAAAATCCCCGGATGGTCCTATTTAGGTGCTCTACCGGCGCTCCGTATGTCCGGAAATGTGTCTCGTTGGCAAGGGCGCCTTACGGAATAAAAGTGCTTACCGATGTGCTGAGACCTGGATCTAATGGACCAACGGGTGACATGAGGACTGAAGATATTCCCAAGGCTTGAATGGGCGGACAGAACCCCGGAGAACTTCACCCAAGATTTAAAACCGGCACGGCCCGGGCTAGAAGCACCGTGGACCGGACACCATAAATTAGCATATCCCAATTCCAGATAAGTATCGGAACAGCAAAAAGGTATCCATGATGCACACACATCTGCGAAGTTTGTGATCCAGTCAGCAACCAGTCCAACTATGATGAATTACGGCACATCAACGGCACGGCACGTCGTCAATTACGGCGCGAGAACACCGAACCTGGCGTCTTTTTTGTTGCTGACTAGGAATTCAAGGAAGCATCCAGGATCAAATGACGGGAACTCCGTATAACCAAAAGTTTGGGGGCGGGTCCAGGATTTCGTCAAAGGGGAGGGGCACACAACATTGTGAGGCCCTGTCCAAAAATATTCTTGCTTTTCCGTCATTACATCTTGAGACAAGACGTATGTAATATATATATATATATATATATATATATATATATATATGTGTGTGTGTGTGTGTGTGTGTGTGTTGTGTGTGTGTGTGTGGTGTGTGTGTGGTGTGTGTGTGTGTGTGTGTGTGTGTGTGTGGGTGTGTGTGTGTGTGTGTGTGTGTGGGGTGTGTGTGTGTGTGTGTGTGTGGTGTGTGTGTGTGTGTGTGTGTGTGTGTGTGTGTGTGGTGTGTGTGTGTGTGTGTGTGTGTGTGTTTACTTATTCATTTATTTTTAAGTACGGAAGCCCATCTTCATGTGCACAGCCCTATAAAGCTAGGCGTGCTACGCATGCATACACATAGACCTGACAGATCATGTTAAATGCTGTGATTCTGAAGCAGGCGTCTCGGAGCAACAGGCAAAATGAACTTGAGTTGGCTGCCAACAACCATCAAAACCAAGCATGGGCTTAATTTCTAGCTTTTGTAATTACGGCTAGCCGGCTGGGGGATGACATTAGGTGATGGCTGGTGACCAACGTATAACTTTTCCTTTATCATAAAGAAGAACATATAATTCAACCTATGCAAAGAACGTGATTTCCAGTATCATAAGTGTCACGCACTCAATAGCCAATGAAAATGACACATACGACGCCGGCGGTATGTAAAATTACGCCCGGCAGTTGAGCGTAAAAATTCATCGGCGCATATTCGGCTACTGCTCTACGGCGAAGGTACAAAGGGCAATTGGAACGAAACCTGCGCGATCATGGGTGCCGCTGGAGGCCGACAAATCGGCCCCTCGTCAACAAGTATAGGATCCTCAGAGCAAGCAAAAAGAGCCTAAGGCCAGCGTGTTGGGCCCATAAACGGTCGGTAGTGTCCCGGCAAGCTGACATATGTTGCCCCACTCAGAGCACAAAACCCTCTGAGCAAAGGGAAATTACCCAAGACCATGAAGTAATATCCCCGTGCTATCAAGAGAGTCGAACACGCTAACAGAAAGCCTCGATAGGAGTGCAGAGTCCCTTCGCAAATGAGATCGAAGGGAAGGATCCCTTGATCAAAGTAGAGGGCCCCTGAACATCGAGTGTTTCGGTGCATTACCTTATAAGGGCCCAGCAACGGCACAAGGCTCTTCCAGTAAGCGGAAAGAACCTGAGACTGATATGAAGGGCCCCTGATCAACTGAGCGTACCCTAGCATATGAGGCCACGGAAAAGCGTATAGAGCCATTTAGGCGAATGGGAAAAATCCATGGAGGAAACCTTGCTTGATCCAGAGCGCCCAGGCATGCAAGCAGATAGCGTCCGAACAGAAGTGTTGGGCCCTACGAGGAAATTTCGAAGATATTAAAGTCAACATGGAAAGCTCCTTAGCGATCAGATTGACCCGGCAAGTGGACATATAGGGCTCGGGAAGCAGCGTAAGGCCTCTGGGCAACGCATTGAGCCCCAAAATTCCCCCCAAGAGACGCCATTTTCAATACGGAAAGAGTTAACTTCGTCTGCTCATGAACTCTGCTTTTGCAAACAATTGTTATTGGTCGTCTGTAGGTCCAAAGGCGTCCAATTTGGCCACGTGCCTCCCCCACCCCCTCTGCATCCGCCACCGGCATGAGCACCTGATTGGTGGGGCCCGCCAAGAACATAGGGCCATCCACTCAAAAAGAAATACTTGCGACAAAAGATGTAGGGCTCCCAACGATCGAGCGTGCCCGAGCAGCTTAAAATGTAGGATCGTCGTCAAGAGCGTAGGGCCCTCCATTTAAATAGGAAGCGCCCAAGATCAAACGTAAAGAGCCCGCGAATGATCGGGTGTGCCAGAGCATGTTAATCGATAGGGCTTCCAACAAGAGCGTAAGGACCTCCATTCAAACGGGAAATACCGGAGACCCTATGTAAATGGCCCCCGAGCGATGGAATGTGCCCGAGCAGGTTATCAGAAGAGGCCCGACAAGAGCGTAGGGCCCTCCAATAAGAAGTACCCAAAACCCAGTGCTGAGTGCCCCCGGAAGATGGAGGACACGCGAGCAGATTATCGGATGGCCCCGGCAGGAGTGTACAGCCCTAAATTCAAACACCAAGACCCAATATACAGAGCCCCCGAATAAGCCAATGTAGCGGAGGAGGCAAGCAGATGGGGTTAACATAGGTTAGAGCAGGTTAACAGAGGGCCCCGAAAAGAGCGAAGGGCCATCCATTCACAAAGGAAGTGCCCAAAACCAGATGCAGAGGTCCCCCACGATGGAATGGGCCCGAGCATCTTATCAGAAGGGGCCCGACAGGAGCGAAAGACCCTCCATTCAAATAAGAAGTTCCCAAAACCCGGTGCGGGGGGGCCCCGAAAGATGGAGTGTATCCGAGCAGGTTACCTCATGACTCCGATAGGAGCAGAGAGCCCTCAATCCAAATATCAAGAACCAATGTGAAGGGGCCCCGAGCAATCCAGCGTGGCCGAGGGGGCGAACAGAAGGCTCCCCCCCCCCGACAAGTGCGTAGGGCCCCATTCAATTAGCACATGCCCAAGGCCCAATGTAGATGGCCCCCGAACAATCGAATGTGCCCGAGCAGGTTACCACATAGGCCCCCACAAGAGCGTAGGGCCCCCCATTCAGAAAATAAATGCCCAAGGCCCAGCGTAGAGCGGCCCCAAACAACTGAGCGTGTCCAAGCAGGCAATCAGATGGGGCCCCAGATAGGAGTGTAGGGCCCCAAACAAGTGGCAGAGAACTGGAAACGTCCCAGACCAATGTAGAGGGCCCATGAGCATATCGCAAGTGTGTCGATAGGTTAACCGGGACCCACGTGAAGGGCCCTTGAGCAGCCGAGAAGACCCCGGCAGGTTAAGATATGGGGGTCCCGGCTATAGCTCACAGAGCCTTTTTGGCAAACGGAAAAAGTCCGCGGAAGGGACCGTGATTGACAAGAGTGCCCCGGCACGCCAGCAGGAAAAGCCCCAACAAGAGCACAGGGCCCTCCGAGCAAATGCAAAGAGATAAAGAGCGACGTGGAATGCTCCTTAACGATCGAAATGATCTAGGAAGAGGGCATATAGGTCCCTCGGAAACAGCAAACAGCCGCTAAAAAGTGTAATGGGGCTTATAGTTTCCCGTTCACAACTTTTCCAATTGCTAAATAATTTTTGGGGCTTCTTATAGGCCCTTCGCCTTCGCTTACGACTTGTTTTGGTCGCTCGGAAGTCCAGAGATACCCACTTTTGTGGCATTTTGTGTTAACAAAAATCCACCTGTTCGGCCGGCTACGGGCCCCTCGGAGCCATTGGACCCCTTCGGGCCCAAAGGGGGGCATGGCCCCGTGCCCCCCTGGGTCCGCCCCTGCGCTGAGGTTACTCTC